ATCGAATGTTGTGAACCAAATGCAGAATTAGTTATAGAGATACACATGTTTGGCATTTGTTGTTTTTTTATTGTACAAGTTGAAGACTTTACATATATTATTGTGGGTTATTACATTTGTAGCAACCAAAGTTACATTTGATTTAATGGAATTTATATTGTCTTTACTGTTCGTTTACAGATGTCAAAGAGCACTACTATAAAAACAATACACAATCAATATTGTTTACTCTGAACTACAGAATAGTGAACACAATCACTATTGTGTAACAGTTGTTACACTCTTTTTGCCTTGAGTTACATGGTCCTGTAACGTGAATTACATTTCATGTAGTCATTGTTTACATCAGATGTATATTACATGTATATCTAATTGATTTGAATGAGGTTAATATATTAGCCTATAACATTTCATTCCTACATAAGTTATATATATAAGTGTGTGTGTGTGTCTGCATAAAACATATATAAGGAGTTTACATCAAATTATCATAAACCAAACATGTAAGTTGCATTTTACATCATAATATCTTAAACCAAACATATAAGTTGTCCATTGCATCACCAGCTACTGCATAAAACCAACAAATGTTTTAAGTTTATCCATACCATCACCCCCTCCATAAAACCAACAATTTTTTTTACAGTAATCCTACCAGATTAATCAATTACATCTTAAGGTACTCTTTTGCTTTTTTTACAACATTTTCCCTTTCACTATTAAATTTAGACAGTAATACTTGAGCTGCATAGATCAATCTCATCTTCTGAATGGTTTCATTTTGAGCTTTGATTCCGTCATTTGTAGCAGTATTCCACAGTCAACATTATTGCCATTATGTCTCCATGGCATAAATAACATTCTGGGAATCCAATTTCTGAGCTTTCCATCTGAGATCTTCACTTTCTCACAAAAGACTTTGAATCCATCACCCTATACAAGAAGTTACATTAATGGACTAAAATAATATTGAATAATATCATTTGTTATTTCCAGAAAAGTTGTACTGAATTTTTACCATTTTCTTAAAAGTTTCGCCATATTTGTCCTCAAAGATCACCCCGTCTGGAAGCACGCGGTTGTCAATCACATCAACAATGTTGGTTTTTGTGTAAAAGCAGTAGATATAATAGTGCCCAGATTTGTGTATTGGAAACATTATCTGCAATATACATGAGTCATAAGTATTTCATGCTGGATACGTTAATATTGAAGAGCTGGAAGGGATAGAGCTTGAAGAGGCGGTCCTAGGGTTTTTGGAATGAGGAAAATCGGATTAGGGATGTATTTATAGTGAATTTCCGAAGTTTGAGTTGCATTAGGATACAACAGGAACGCACGCGTGCGGTACCTTCCACGCACGCCGTGCGTGACCCCCAGACGCCCCAAACCTTAGGTTTTTGCCCCGTTTCTTCCCCATTTGGACCTCCCATTTGTCCCAAACACTAAACCAAACATAATAAACGACCTAAAGACCGTGTAAACAATATGAAACACAATTTTAATTATTTCCCAAATTCTCTCAGATTTTCGGGGTATTACATTCTCCCCCCCTTAAAGGACGCTTCGTCCTCGAAGCTCAAGTCAAAACACAGTCGAGATGAAACACTGAAGGAAATACCTTATCAAAAGGGCTCTAGATATAGAATACTAAGAGTTTACTTACCTCAACCACGTTCCTATGGGTTGCCATAGTTCTTACAGAAGAGAGACGCAAAGTTCAGAATACTAGGAACTCTCACAGATCCCTACCAAGTTCTACCTAAGATCACAAGATATAGGATACTAGGAATATACTCATAACTATTCTCAAGTTTACTAACTCACAATATACTCTAGGATAAGGAACACCTACAAGCAACCATTGGAAAAATTTCATTCAATTCACAAATCTCAAATCAATCCAAGACATCACAAAATACAACAACAAAAAATCAATCACACAATCTCACACGCGCCTAAGCCATAAAATTCCTCCCTAATAAGATTCATTAATCCTAATTAATGAAAATAATATTTCAATTCAAAAAGTTTTTTGAAAATCTTTAAAAGATTTTGAAAAACAAAGGCTCTGATACCAATTTGTAACACCCCTAAATTTCCCGCCCAAAACATTGATATATTTTAAAAGAAATACTTTATTCATTCATCAAAGAGTTGAAGAAATACAGCGGAAGTCTAAAAGGGAAATGAGTGTTACCGCCACATTCGGTCATCTCTTAACCGAATGCACAGGCAACTCAAAGTAAAACAATAAAAAAACTAATGTAATAATAAGTAAATGTTAATTTCATGACTAGATTTAACTAAGGCATCTTCTAATTCGCACTCAAGCTCGAGCAATCCATCAATCCACATAGGCATCCAACTCATCACCTGATAAAATTTAAGGGAGAAGAGAGAGACAAGAGAAATAACAAAAATTAGCTTTAGAGCTAAGTAAGTACTACCCAACCCCGTAAAATAATCAGGTTTGACAAAAAATAGATTTTTATATAATATCATATAAAAATGACGCACTCCACCAAAATACTTTTCTCTTTGATTTTTCTTAAAATTACTTCTTTACTAAAATCCTCAACTTCTCTTGGAAAATCTCTTAGTAATTCTTCTCTTTAAACTTCTTAAGAAAATCACTTCTTTCTAACTTCCTAGTAATTTAGAAGGGCGGTGCTCAACCTTTCGGTAGAGCCCGGTGGACCGTGGTTACGGACGGCCACCCCGAACAAGTGCCGGTACCACAACTGCTCTGTTGGAAACGAAACGACTACATTAAGTGTGCACACCCCCTAAAAGGGATTCCAAGCCCTCCGAGTAGTAAGTCATCTCGAGTGGTCGGAACCCAAACACCCCAATTCTAAAATTCTTGAATGATTAGGGACTACTACTATAACTTCTTCTTAAAAGGGATCATAGATCCAAATCTCACTTAAAAGGGATCATAGATCCAAATCTTACTTGAAACTTAAACTGTACTTCTTAGTAGTAGTAGCTCTAATCACCCTCCACATTTATCCGGATGTGGAAAAACCGACACCCCGGATTACTCCCGAGATACTCACTTCTTATGAAAATGTAAATTTTATCTTCGCTTAATAATACTTCAAAAATACTTCTTAATTTCTCTAAAAAGTCTCGAAGGTATTTAAAAAATATTTAATACCCCAAAAGTACTTGATTTATACTTCTTAACTACCATATATATAATATCTTCTCAAAATCACATACACAAAATTCACAAATCACACTTAATCACATAATGCATAATAAGCATATAATACGAGGAAACAATTTTGGATTGACAGAGAAACTTACAATTTATGGTTTATCCAAAACTAGTTCCAAAATAGTATTTAATACCATATTCAAAATAATCCAATAAGGATATTTATAACTCCAGAATATATATGTAAATTTTCATACCAAATTATACATTTAAATATATATAATTTATCCCAAAAGATTTGATCTCACAACACTTTCCAAAAAGAGGGTTTAACCCAAACAACCACTTCCCAAAAGTAGCATTTACTACTACCACCAAAATAATCAAATTGGAGTATTCTGAACCCATAATATATTTTCAATATAACCAGTTATAATAGTCTCAAATTATTCTTCAACTCATACCAAAACAATCACCAAAATTTTCCAATCCCAAAAGAACAATCATCAAAAATCACAATTTTAGCCATGATAAACTGATTTGATAAATTCACCAAAAATCACACGTTCATAAATTCCCAGAAAAGCATACATCATCATACTCATACTATGATAGCCGAATTATCCATAAAATTTCAGAAAGAAACTCAAATCATAGCACAAACCCTAGTTTATACAATATAGGGGCAAAATAGTAATTTTGGTTGCAATAGTCCTTACCTCGAGGCTAGCAACGAATCCTAAACGTCAAACCTAGTTTGATGGATCATTCTCACGTACCTAGGAAGTGATAGGTTCGAAGGATCTCAATTTAGGAGAAAGAAATTTAGTAAACGGATGAACGACGCGAATTAGGCAACAAACGCACTTACCGGAATATTGGATTGTTTGATCTCATCATTGGCATAAAATTTCGTGCTGGATACGTTAATATTGAAGAGCTGGAAGGGATAGATCTTGAAGAGGCGGTCCTAGAGTTTTTGGAATGAGGAAAATCGGATTAGGGATGTATTTATAGTGAATTTCCGAAGTTTGAGTTGCATTAGGATACAACAGGAACGCACGCGTGCGTACCTTCCACGCACGCCGTGCGTGACCCCCAGACGCCCCAAACCTTAGGTTTTTGCCCCGTTTCTTCCCCATTTGGACCTCCCCTTTGTCCCAAACACTAAACCAAACATAATAAATGACCTAAAGACCGTGTAAACAATATGAAACACAATTTTAATTATTTCCCAAATTCTCTCAGATTTTCGGGGTATTACACTTTGGTTTATTAGATCAGCAGCAGTTTGAATTACCACATCTTCTACATCAGGAGCAGTTTCAGTCATCACATGTTCTACATCAGCAACATTTTCAGTCATCACAGCTTCCACATCAGCAACAATTTCAGTCATCATAGCATTTTGGTCCACTTTTGAAGTGCTTGCACCCTGAGTCATGTTAAACTCAATGCCTAAATCAAATGAAGGCATTGCAAATTTCAGAAATGCTGCTTTCTCCAGTTTCTCAAGCGCTTCCATAACTCCGGGCTCATTAAAAAAATCATCATCTTCTTCAAGTACACACTTCTATGATAATCTTTCTTTCTGAGCCATGTTCTGATCTCCATTTGCTTGATTGATAAAGTAATCAGCAGTTGTCAAATATATCTTCTTCAATATATCAGAATTTGGGAACTTCTTAGAAATGGTTGACGGTAGCTTGGAAAACTCAACAAATGCATCACTGATTTTTTGGGTGACTGCCACAATTTCCTTCACACACTCCTATAAAAATTAAAAATAAACTAGAAATTGTCATATCACATACATTGTAATACAGTGGAATCATCATTTAGAACTTTACATTCCACAACACCTTAGTTTACATTTTGATAGGCAAGACTTACATGTCATAATAAAACAGTTAACATCATTTGACTTAGACAACTACAGTTTACATCTTATACCAATAGAAGTTACATTTTAAACAACATGTGTTACATATTCAGTTTCTTCAAGTACTTGATGTAAATGACTAATAAAACTTATTTCCTTTGTCAACAGCTCATCTCCTTTCTGTTCAGTTTGTTCTTCTACATGCATGATTCTGGGCTTCACCTTGCCAAGTCCAAATCCCAGCTTCCTCTCATCTTTCACTCTTTTATCGATTCTATCTTTGGTCCAGAATTTTATTGTAGGAAAAACATTGTCCAAAATCTGTCCTTTGAATTGCACCCTATCAAAGTAACAAATCATTAGAAACAATAAAGGTCCAGTGAACATTCTTGGTGGATAGGCCTGCCATTCTTCTCCAGCATCCATGAGTGACTGTCTTGTGTATTTACACCAGTTCAGATTTTTGATTTCACCAACATTTACTAAAGAAAGCAAGATCTTGAAGTTGTTGTTCACACTCTGGTTGCCTCTTATCAAACAAGAGACTGTGAAGATAACAAAAATCCTGATGAACTTATCTCCATCATCATCATCCTGAAGGATTTTTTCTATCATTGATGTTGTTTGTGGGCTGCCTTTCTCAATGCCCCACTCTGCTCTCCATTCTTTCAGCAGCTCAGTGTAGTCTTCTGTTTCATTCTTTCCATTTGCTTCGACAACATCTTTCTCTCCTTTGGGCAAGCCAAACACAGCTTTAACATCATCTTCTTCAATATCTAAGAACTCTCCAGTTGTAAGCTTGAGCTGTGCAGATATTGGTCTCAGGTTTTCCAGTAGAAATTTAACAAAGTCTCCATGGAACTTATCAAAGCTCAGGTGTAGCAAAGATCCAAATCCTATTTTCTTAACAATTGTCTTCTGTTTTTCACTTAATCCTTTGATTAGCCTTACAAATGGAGCAGGTCCAACTCTAGTCCTCAAATTTATTGAAGCACCCGCAGCAGTAGCAGAAATGTTCTCCATTATTTCCCTTCCAGACTCTTCTTCTATTTCTTGTATAGCATGAGTCTTCCTTTTTCGCGTATTGCGTGCACTTGTTGTTGGATTTTCTTCTATTATCATTTGTATAGGTGGTGGTTGTTCTTTTGGTGGAATATTATCATCAGAGTTACCCCTGTCAGTAATTAATTTGTATATGATGCATATCAGTAATTACATTATTCTTACAGAGCATTTTGTAGAACAATTATACTTACATATTGACATGCATACTTTACTTAATTCATAACAGTATTTACATCATTTAAGCACAGAAATTGAGTATTTTGTTTCACAATTCCAGTAGTTATATAAGTTTTAAGCATTGAAACTCAGGAATTCCAACAAAAATTGCAGTTACATCTTAACATACACAATTTACATAATTCATAGCAGTAGTTACATCAGTAATTACATCATTCTTACAGAGCATTTTGTACACAAATTGAGCATGTTGTTGAAATAAACCAGTTATATCTTAACATACAAAGTTTAGTTGATTATACCAGTACTTACATATGTTTTCGTAGCAGTATTTACATCATTTAAGCACAGAAATTGAGTATTTTGTTTCACAATTCCAGTAGTTATATAAGTTTTAAGCATTGAAACTCAGGAATTCCAACAAAAATTGCAGTTACATCTTAACATACACAATTTACATAATTCATAGCAGTAGTTACATCAGTAATTACATCATTCTTAGAGAGCATTTTGTATATAAATTGAGCATGTTGTTGAAATAAACCAGTTATATCTTAACATACAAAGTTTAGTTGATTCTACCAGTACTTACATATGTTTTCGTAGCAGTATTTACATCATTTAAGCACAGAAATTGAGCATTTTGTTTCACAATTCCAGTAGTTATATAAGTTTTAAGCATTGAAACTCAGGAATTCCAACAAAAATTGCAGTTACATCTTAACATACACAATTTACATAATTCATAGCAGTAGTTACATCAGTAATTACATCATTCTTACAGAGCATTTTGTATACAAATTGAGCATGTTGTTGAAATAAACCAGTTATATCTTAACATACAAAGTTTAGTTGATTCTACCAGTACTTACATATGTTTTCGTAGCAGTATTTACATCATTTAAGCACAGAAATTGAGCATTTTGTTTCACAATTCCAGTAGTTATATAAGTTTTAAGCATTGAAACTCAGGAATTCCAACAAAAATTGCAGTTGCATCTTAACATACATGATTTACATAATTCATAGCAGTAGTTACATCAGTAATTACATCATTCTTACAGAGCATTTTGTATACAAATTGAGCATGTTGTTGAAATAAACCAGTTATATCTTAACATACACAGTTTAGTTGATTCTACCAGTACTTACATATGTTTTCGTAGCAGTATTTACATCATTTAAGCACAGAAATTGAGCATTTTGTTTCACAATTCCAGTAGTTATATAAGTTTTAAGCATTGAAACTCAGGAATTCCAACAAAAATTGCAGTTATATCTTAACATACACAATTTACATAATTCATAGCAGTAGTTACATCAGTAATTACATCATTCTTACAGAGCATTTTGAAAACAAATTGAGCATCTTGTTGAAATAAACCAGTTATATCTTACATACATACATTTTAAGGATTTTTAACAATAATTGCAGTTACATCTCTTAATATAAAGTACGTTGAAACTCAAAATTTGTAACAACAATTGAAGTTAGATCTTAACATACACACTGTGCATGTTCAAATTGACATCTCAAAAAGACATAAATCAAATTCTATACCTCTGAAGTGATTTGCGTCTAGCCCTAGTAATTGTGTCGATCTTCAGAACCTTGTTCTTTTCCTTACTTTTCTGTCGGACGAAATGCTTTCTTTTCCTCTCGCAAGTGGATGTACTTCAGCAATGAAGTTTTGTTGAGATTTTTTCCGATGAAACTTCGAAGAGAGAAATGGTGGAGAAAGTTTCTGACAAATGTTTTTTCTGAATTTCAAAAGACACGATTGAAGAATATGGGGGGAAGTGAAGCGAATAACTGCTCGAGAAAGAAAAAATGTGCCGCTAAGATGAGAGCCGTTTACTGGTTTGAGCATTTTTAGATTAAATAAAGTCAACTATGTCGTATACGAACTGCTAAAAACATCCTAACAAGTTAACCAAGGTCTGCTCTACTTTGGTAGGCAACTTTGTTCACGTTCGGAGGAAAAGAAGCTGTGGAATTCCTACTCAAATCGGATCACGGATTAAAACCCTGTAGTCTCGTCAGCCGCCTCATGGTTTCACCCGATTCCGAAAAGTTGATCGCCAGAGCTGATAAACTGTAAATTTTCATTCCAACTGCGCATATTTGTTACATTAGATCACGATCATTCCTTAATCATTTATCTAGTTGAATTTCTAATTTCCGGAAAATGAGGGCGGTCTTTAAGACTTTCAAAAGAGCTCTTATATATCATTTCTCTGATTAAGATCTAAGGTTCTCATGCTTAATAAGGATAGCAATAGAGAAGAGGAAGGGATGTTTCAATACTTAGAGTTTTTTTTATAACTTTTTCCAAGGCTTTGAAACGGCGTTCTACATATATTTTTAAAGTTAAGTGGATTTATGAAATCTAAAAGCTTTTTGTAAAATTTGAACGTATGATCATGTTCAGTCCAAGTTTGTTCGTATCAATTTGATGAACTCATAAGACTGACTATAAGAGAGACATTTGAAATGAGGAACCTGCCAGATGTATGAGCTGTACGGTTTTGGCTCTTTGTGACATCTGTCTTAAATAGAAAGTATTAATACATTGACAACATAAAAATACTATTATGCTAAGTATCAATGAATTAATGATCATATTACTATTTGGAACATTGTTCCATTACCTTTTTCTGATAGAGAACTGAATATATTGAAAAACTTCTGTTGGTATTGCTGATTTGATATTGTTGTATGACTTTGTCTTTGGTCTGTCTACTTATGCTCTTTCCTAGCATATTTATGTTCAAACACTTGATTCTAGATAATTATGTACTCCTTTTGGGGACCAGCAGTACCGGCGAGGAAATTGGGACCCACAGGGTAAAATGAGCAAAGAGAACCATGTGGATAAGGCCAATGAAAGTGGCTTGTTCGGAAAGCTATCTTATTTACTTTTATCTTGACGAAGTTTCCTAATAATAGTTAGAATGCCGATTCATTAATTCAGTTGTTGATTTACAAAACTTTATGTTTCCTTTTTGGTTCTTGACTTTTGTAATAGTTATATAAGGGCTCCTAATTTGCAATATGAACTAAATTTAGAAGAACTCATTTTGGTATATCTTTACTAGGTCACGAATTATTTAAAACTTAACCTTTGTTTTATTTTGTCTCTCGATCTCTCTTGTGTTTGAACATAGAGCCGAAGGACCTAACATCGCTAGCTCTTGGCGTTGGACAGGACTTTGTACGAAATTTTTAACAAGGATTCGCTATTGTATCTGTAAAGCAGTGTTCTAAAAGGCATGAGACGTGTCAAAGTGGGCAAGACCAACCTTCAAGCCTCTACATTAAAACTCTCTTTGATTTTGTTTTCTTTTTTTAATTTTTTCTAGAGCTATGAATTAACTATGGAAATGTAACAAACTAATAATGAAAAACATCATGCAAAAGTCAATTCATACTTTTCAACTTTCGAACAAAACTTAAGTCTTCACTTCTAGGGTTCCGAATACCACAAATGATAGATCTGACTACTATACAAAAACTAGAATTGACAAAGCAATTGTTTGCTTATGTAGAAACACCTTAAGGCAATGAAACAGTAGATAAGCTCCCTATGGATAGTTTGCTGTTTTGTTATCTTAATTGCCTTTTTATGTATCACCACCTTAATGGAATAAAACAGTAGGGACACCTCATTGATCCCTGCTGTGCATTTATGCTCATGTATTCCAGCCTTTGTAATCTTTCCAGTTTCCAGACATCGTCAGCGTACACTAACATCATTCTTAGGATCATCAAGAAATCTAATATCCCACCAACATTCAAGTTACAGCTTTTAATTTCCATCAACAGAGTAGATGTTGTGGTTCAATTTTACAAATCCTGTCATACTTCTACACTGCCGGTGGTTAGAATACACTGTGCACAAGTGCACAATAAGCATCCAAAAATGAATTTAGTACAAATTAAAATGATTCAGATGATTCAAAATCTGAAACACAAAGAATTAAAGAATACCTTATTGACTAGTTTAATGCTACTGAAAAAATTGAATCACCATCCACTACCGCCGGAGATATTTATATCTGACTTTGTAGGGTAGATCCAGTGGATTCTGTTCGCTATTCTTTGCAAATTAGAAGATAGTGTGACATATAAGTATGAGATAAATTTACCTTGAGGATCTTTTTGGGGTGAGCTACGTCTAATAACCTAATTATAATATGGCATCCGAGTTTGGTCTGAATGTGGTTCATTTGTATTGCTAGTTGCAACACATGATTTGGGTTAGCACATTTGCAGTTAATTTGGTTCATTTATCCAATCTTCGTATGTTCTTATGTTATTTTTATATTCTTTATGCTCTTATCTTTTTATCTTTTAGCTTTCTTATGTTCTTATGTTATTTTTACCTTATATTTATCTTTATCTTATCCATTTTATCTTACTTTGTCTTTTTATTCTTCATATCTTTCTTCCCTTTTTGGCTTTGATATCATGGATCGATTCATGTTAGCCGACCCCAACATCTTTTGGGAATAAGGCTTGAATGTTGTTGTTTAATCCAATCTTCAAGTTGTCTAAAGTCCAATTTGGACTGAAGGGGGTGTTATTTATCTCGCATATGATGGTTATCAGAATTAGTGTAAAAGTGTGAGGTAAAGTAACTTCTTGAAGATTCTTCTATCAAGCCTAATTAATAAAAACATATAAAAAAAAAATTATAGAGGTTATGAATGACTGTACCCACATGACTTGTGAGTGTCTTCGGATATTATACTGTCATAATGTGTTGGTTAGGTGCCCCTTAACATGCTTTCTATACGTACTTGCAAATCAATTGGTGTTTTCTTCTTCTCTGCAGAACAAAACTAAGTTTGACGAGGTGGTCTGCTGATTGGAATCGTGCTACCAGTTTTTATGAGGATGCAGGTATTGCGATATATTTCTACATTCAATGCTTACCTTGTAGATAAAAATTGATGCATAAGTTGGATGTTTATGTATTCCTGATTCATGTGAAATGCTCTCATTCCTTTCAGCTCGTGGACTTAAGCAGGCGAAAAAGTATGAGCAAGCAAAAGAAGCATTTTTGAAAGCCTCAAAAGGACAAGAGATGCTATCTTCGTATCCTGCTGTTATTATTAGTAATTTAGTTTCCTATCAAAAACATCACCTCTGCTTCTTTTACTAGGATTCCTTGACAGGTAAAGGCCTTGGGATGCTGCCAAGCATATGGAATCTGCTGCCTCCATGGCAAAGGAATTGTGCACTTGGCTTGAAGTTGCTGACTTTTATAGACAGGCATCTAAATTGTACCGTGAGTGTGGAAGGGCACAACCTGCATCTGATGCTCTTGCTGCGGGTGCACGGTATGCTTCTGTTGGACACTTATACACACACACACACTTTGTTTTAATTCTTTGTAATTCATTCTTGCATTCTATATACATGCTGATAACTTGCTGGTTGCATTCTATTGGTTATTCACTATTGTGGTTTATATTCAGAATATGGCTGCATGCTTGCACACTCAAGCATGGAGGCTGAACATTGATCAATGTCACTTGTGATGTGGTCATGTGGGGGCTGATCTAGCTAATTTTTGTGAGTTATTGTGGATCAAATTCATTATTTGCAACCATGCGTGGTTATTCCCTGTATAATATCAGATGCAATGCTCCATGGAAAAACAAAACGCATCAAAGTTCTCTCAGATTTTCTAAAAGGTCACTCTAGGATAAATCATTACCTCACCTGTTGGCTCATATGGGTGGGTGAAAAATATATTCACTAGATCTCTTATAGATCTGGGATTGAATACATTTGTAACAAGTTTGTTAGCTTGGAGATTTAATATGCATGTTCCTACTTGAGAGGGAAAACGGGAATTACGAGTTACTGAGGTAGTCCTGGAGTCGAAAAAGCTACCCGTTTACAACTGCACCATGTAGTTAAGCATGCTGCTTATTCTGGATTACGGAAATACTAGTGAACACACGTCACTGTTAATTATGCTTTTCTTGATGCCTTTTTTTTGCATTCATCACTTGCAATGATCTAGGCCTCTAACCAAATGGTTTCCTTTTAGTGCCTTAGAAGATCATTCCCCTCATGAAGCTGTTCAACTCTATATTGAAGCCTGTGCTGCTTTGGAAGAGGACGAGAAGGAGCAAATGGCATTTGATCTCTATTCTGCTGCAGCAAGAGTTTATATAAAGCTCGAGAAGTATGATATTGCTCCCTCCAGTTCACCTTCTTTAGCCAATCTGCTCAAAATACTTATCAAAACCAGTAATTATTTGTTTTTGTTCAAAGACTTTGTAAACCTTACTCAGAGTAAAAAGTAACATTATTGTCTTTCAGCACTCAAAAGTACAAAAATGTTTCCAACATAAAATTGTAAGGAGGGGTGATAGCAATAGCAAAAAAAGTTATGAAAATAGACTCCCATGTTCCAACCCAAAACTAAATATGGACACTTAAAGGGAATAGGGTGGAGGATATTTTGATGAAACCTTTATCTGGAAGCTATAAAAGCAAATGGGATGCGGTGATTTTACATGTTCTGTGATTTGCATGTTACTTTTACCATATCAATCTTGTAAGGGGAGCAACAATTTCAACTCATCACCTTCTCGTTATATTTTCCACGCAATAGAAATATCTTATGACGGTTGCAGTTTTAGAAATGTCTCGTTTTTCCTGCATAAGAAGGTTGCAACTATGGTGTTTTTAGTGAACTCATATTTGTTGACTAAATTTAGATAATTAAATGATCCTAAGGATTTCATGTCACTGACCCCAACTACTTGGGTTTAAGGTGATGATGGATATTATGACAATGACAAACAACAACAACATCCAAGCCTTAGTCCCGAAAGATTTTGGGGTTGGCTAACATGAACCGATAGGTGATATCTGGGCCAAAAGGAAAACAAAGATAAAAAAGAAAAAGATAAGGTATGATAAAAAAGATAAAATAAAGATAAAGATAAATATCATAAAGATGAATATAAAATAAAGATTATTACGACAATGACAATGATGGGGGAAAATCTTCTGATTGTAAATGACCGCCTAATTGAAGAAACTACTCTTCATTCTATGCACATAATTGCATCATGCTTATTGCCTTATTCCATATGAAAAGAGTGATCTATAGATGTACTGATTGACTGTTGCTGATTCTGAGCTGATTATCTACAGGTATGCTGATGCTGCAGCTATTCTTTTGAGATGGGCTTTGGCAGCTGATAAGTGTAACGCAACCCATAGCCAATGCAAGGTCAGGAGACTTTCTAAATTACATTATTATGTGCAGAACAGATCTGCCACACCTTTGTAGCATGAGAGTTTTATACCAATTTCATTGATTCTAGAATCACGATCACTCTTCTTCATGTATTTCTCATTATTGCACTTCTGTGAATACTTTAGTCACTTGCATTTAGTTTTACTAATTGACTTATTTTATTCAGCCCACTATGTTGAGGTATTTGTACTACACCGGCCAAATATAAAAATAACATATAAGATTCCAAGTTACTTCTTTCATGTTTACCTTTTAAAATGAAATCTCAAGTATTGATATAGTATCCATTTGTAAGTTGTTATTTTGGAACCCATGTTTTGAGGTAACCTGCTTTTAGCCTATTTATCCACCTCAAGTTGTCGATCCTGGTTAGGATTGAAGGGTCGTGTTAAAATATGTGTCCCACATCGGGTAAATATAACACCCCCATATAAAATCATAGGCTACTTGCCTACTTCTGAAGTCTTGATACACTCTATCACTAACGCAAAGACAGTTTTAGGATCACATAGACTTTTTCTTACAATTCTATTTATTTGGTGTAGGCATACCTCAGTGCAATTATTGTCCACTTATATGCTCATGACTTCAAGGAAGCTGAGAAGTGCTTTAATGATTGTTGTCAGTAAGTTTCAAGCTTGGCATGTATAAATGTATTTCTTATTATTTGAATTTAATTACTATTTTAGGTTTGAAACTGGGAACAAGAAGCTGTGAGCAAAATGGGTTCATCAATAAAATGAGTCCAATCATTTCTATAAAACCCTTCATACTGAATTACTGTCGGTATACAAACACACAGAAAGAAAAGAAAAAAGGCATAGGCTTTTAAAGCCCATTTTCTAATAGCGCGTTTGGGTTGGGGAAGGGGGTCAGTAAAGGCAAGGAAGAAATTAAATTATAGAGGACTGTACGGGGGTGAGCAATTAATTCTGTTTGGACTTTGGAAGCTTAGTCAAGGAGACTACTAGAGAGACTTATATAGGATTATGATGTTTTCCTGTTTGGATTGCAAAAGTGGAGGGAAAGTAATATCCTACCTCCATCCCGGTTTAAGGCGGTCCACATTGCAAAATGACACGGTCATTTAGACACTAATTAAATAAGGTAATTTGAGTTTTTTTTATGCTCAAGCCCATATGTATTGTTATAGATGTCTTATTTTTAATATTTGATGATTAAATTGTCATTTAAGAGTGCTAATTATTTATTTCCTAAATCAGAAATGAGAACCTTTAGCTGCGACAGTAATTGAGGGTAATGACTAATGAAGAACCACCGATTTACTTCCTCTTCCATTTACTCCCTAACTAAACAAAAGAGAAGACAAGTGCCCCCCCCCCCCCCCCCCCCCCCCCAAATCAAAAACAAGTCCGAAATCATATGTAGTTCTTTTATCTCCCCTCAAATACCATCCATACAGATTGGGGTAAATCCATAACAAGACCAAAATCATTTGTAACACACGACATTTCTATTTTCCTTTCAGGATTGAAGTATTTTCAAATAGTGATCAAGGACAACGTGCCTCTGAGCTCCTTTCTGCATACATTGAAGGAGATGAAGAAAAAATCAAGCGAATTGGTCAATCGAGTATAGTTTCACATCTTGATAACTCGGTAAATATTAACCTTCTAAGCTTTATAAATAGATAAATAAATAAATGAGATAAATAAATGAATGAATGAATGAATAAATAAATAAATAAATGGATGGATGGGTGGGTAGGTGATGAATATATAAATTAATTTTTGTTTTTCCCATTCATAATTTTAATATTTTTAATCAATGGCAGATATTTTATAAAAAAAATCAATGGCAGATGATGACAATATGACGCTTTTGTAATTATTTTAGGATACTTGCAAAGAGTTCCGTTTGCATTTAGGATAATTACAAGTATGTCCCTTTATTAGTGCAAGTCACTGATTAAAAAATATGAAGGGTAAAAGATCAAAGGTTTGTATAAAGATGGTCTCATAAATTGGCTCTCAAAGACCCCCCCCCCCCCTGCCTATAGTATAGGTACAATTGGGGTGAGATGAAACTTCCTGTGCAAATTCTGCACTTGTGGCTCATTGTTTTTGAGCAATGTGCTGTTTGCATGATGCATTGGCAATAAAAGTTTGCCAGTTTTTGGTTGCTTTTAATGCTATTTTTGCATTTCTTAAACCAATCTCGTGTGTGATTTCATTTTAACATAGTTGAAATGATGAAACATATTGGCACTGTATGCAGATCATTAAGCTCGCAAGGAAACTACCCACTGGAGATGTTAGTTCTTTCAAAAACACTGTGGCGAACAGGGATGAAGAGCCACTTGATGAGGATGATCTATCCTAGTCCTAGTCATTGGTGTGCCATTCACATGGATTCTTTTATTGTTTTGGGTGCATGAATGTTGTGATTGAAATGAAATGATCAAGCACTTCATAGTTAAGTCTTATGAACTCTACATATTTGCATCCTTCTGTATGATGTGGTTAATAGTTCTTATGATCTACTAAGGATTTTACTTCCCAGATTTTTTATATGAAAGGATGATAGGGGGCTCAGGCCTCGGGTCGTGTATAAACTTGTTTATATATAACGTCTATTAATGATATCTGTAATCAGTAATCTGATTACTCGGAAAACCCAAAATGCAGGAAATGACACTTGGAAAAGATTATATCTGTCATCTGTAATTTAGGACAAATGGGTAAATTTTAAAAGGACAAGGATATATTGATACATATGTTTTCAAACATATGCGCACCTATGTTGCAAGAACTAGACCGGACCGGGCGATCCGACCCGGAACCCGGCCACCTGGCTCTGGAACCAGTCCGGTAGAGTCCAAACCCGTAAATGTGCCTAAAATCGGTATTGACCGGAAACTCGGAGTTAACCGGACCGGACCTGGAACGGTTTAAAACCGGAATCCAGCCAAGGTCGAGCAAGAACCGGATTCCTAAACTAAAAAATCTACGCCAACGGGGGATTTTGAACTAGGGTTGTTAATGAACACCCAAAGCTTGAGTTCGGCTTGATAAGGAATTAGTGGTGTTCGGGTTCGAGCTCGAAGCTCGACGAACTTTACAAATGAGGCTCGTGTTCGGCTCGATAGGAGTTCGATGTTCCAACTGAGTGCTTGATAAGCTCGATAAATATGCTCGAATATAAAATTTTAGGTGATGCTCGTTAATAGGTTCGTGCTCGAATGATTCGACAAGTATTCGGTTCGTTAATAATCATATTTAAATTCATAAAATCATACTAATTATATTTAAGTTTTGACTTATATATAAATTATATTTATAATTTTAGGTTTTCGATAGGCTCGAGTTCGAACCGAGCCGAATACTACTATGTTCGAGCTCAGCTCGAATAAGTTTTCGAAATTAAAACTCAGCTCGGGTTCGAGTTCGAAAGTTCATTAAGATCGGCTTGTTAGATTTGACACCGAACTCGAACTCGAATAGTTCGATAAAAGCTCGATTCGTTAACAGCCCTATTTTGAACCCAGGAAGTCTGCTTGGCTACAAGCCCATATCACCACACGTGCTAATTCAATTAGGTGGTTGGGTGGTTTGTTGACATGGTGCTTTATAGGGATGGCAATGGGGCGGGGTTGGGGCAGGGGTTCACTCCCCCATCCCCTGCCCCGTGTCTAAAAAATCGCCCCCACCCCCGCCCCATCCCCCACTACTACTCGACCCGCCCCATCCCCCGCCCCAACCTGCAAGACCCACGGGTACCCAACAGGGAAATATTCGTCAAAAACTAAGATTATTTTAGACTTAGACAATTTTTCAAAAATCAAACAACACTTCTAGTATGTAGCCAAAAAACCTTTTAATTTTTAAGTGTCAATGTAATCTTACATCCCATTTCAAATCTAGAACACATTATACACGTTTTGATTTAGTCATTTTATTAAACACTTTATTAGTATTGATTAGCTCTAATATTTTCTTAAGCCCTTCTTCAATCAACTATGGTCATTTGACAGCATCTAGGACGACCTATGGTCACCAAATTTTTAAGAGCCCTAACTACAATCATAAAGATGACATTCATATAAAAAGAATTAATGCACTATAATAGTAAAAGAAGAAAACATTCACACTGTGCCTGAGGCGTTTAAGCTAATATCACTTTATAACTTAATTTACCAAATTCAATTTACTTTATATGATTTGAATAACCAATTTTACAAGATAGCTGAGTTATTAAACAAGAATTAAATAGACCCATTAGGCACAACCCATTAGATAGGAAACAACTAAACCCACCTGGCCACCGTATTATTTTAATTACTTCGTATTAGTAATCACATATTTATGACTAAAATGAATATTGTTTACAAAAAATGTAACTAGTGACTAGAGTTGTAATAAAATTATAGTAACTTATGTTCAATTTTAAACTTAGGTTACTATAACACTACAATAGTCATAACTCTGTAAAATAGATTTTATATTAATAATATTTTTGTAACAAACCCTTATTATTATTAGTATTATTATTGTGATTATTATTAATTATTAATATGTGTGTGTGTCTATATATATATATATATATATATATATATATATATATATATATATATATATAGGGAATAGATATATATATATATATATATATATATATATATATAGGGAAGAGATCAAATAAAAAGAGGTTCTCCCGTGCAAAGTGCGAACAATTGCACTTTTTCCTCACCACGTTGCATTTTTGCGTGTTTCTGTTGCACTTTTTCGCTGTGGCAAAAAACTTCGTTTTAATTACGTAATTGCCACCGCGTTTTTGATCAAATTTAGTTCACTTTGGGCTCATTTTGAGCCATTAGATCTAGAAATGAATGCACGAGATTAATTCTCACTTTGCATGGGAAGACCTCTTTATATATATATATATATATATATATATACACACACACACACACATACACACACACACACACATATATATATAGATTTAGGTTCAAGTGAGAAAACCATCTTAGGAGAGAGATAAGAATAAATTACATCTGTTGGATCACACGCTATCAGCTTTATACGGTTTCTCCTTACGTGGGTCATTTATGTCTTTTTCCATTTAAATTCCATATATTTTTGATAACCGTGCTATAATTTCCTCCTATTCCATAAATGTAATTCTCTTTCCTTAAACTCACGTGCATTGAGATACCAATTCCATCTTCATCATTCTTCTCACGTTGCAAAAGTAGATCCGAATTCATGTAGAACACGCTATGGATGTCCTACATCAAATGAAAGGAGTTTGATGCATGTGTCCTACCCGTTTCAATTTGCCTCTATGCCGGTGCTTCTGATGGAACCATAACTTGAACATAGAATTCATTGTCGTTTCTGGTCCGACGCAATACCAAGTGGTAGACGAATCATATAGGAAATCAACCTTTGACTGCTGGAACTCTAAGGATTTACTTCATTTTGCTTGTGGAATGAATGTTGTTTTTCATTTTTTAATGTTTTCGCATATTTTTTTACATTTCATTTTCCCATGTAAACAAATGGAATTTTACTATTGTTTCAATTCATGCTCGTGTATTTGTGTGCAGTGCACCTTTCATGTTTGGATGACAGCCGTGTGTCATTGTATTACGATAGCTAAATAAACATTGCACTTATGTATATAGGAAGTGCATGCTAATGACAAAATTGTGCATGTTACTGACATAAAAAGTGATATTTACCTAGGTGTATGTTAATATTAGTTGATGCACTTATATGCTCATACGTATTGCACTTTTACATTGTTCATGGACTGTGCACTTTTACTTTCTTAGTGTGCAATACAAATAAAACAAATGTGCATTTCCATGCTTATAACACATGTGCACTTTAAACAAAACAAAAAAAATGCAACCTCATGTTTATATAACTAATAGTGTACGTCCATAGTGAACCATTACCACAAAAAGTGCATCACGAATACTAGTAAAGTGAGTGCATAAGAGTGTCATTTATTTACTATCGATGATGCACATTAAAAATATATAAAATTTAATTGCTTGTAACGAATTAGTAAATTATTATAAGTGCACATCTGAACTATATAAAGGGCATATAACAAATAATAAGAGTGCAAATATAATATTATAATACACTACGTGCAATTAAAACACTAATTGAATGTGCTACTGCACTTTGAATGTTTACCATGTGAACCTTTGTAGTTTGATTGTTCTCCACGTCGTTTTGATTATATAGATAATGGGGCATCTTAAAAATATTAATACCCACCATTTACTCAAATTCCTTGAACATTCCTATTAGAGTGTGGAGTCAATTGATGTGATATGCGATTTTTTGGGATTTTAATAAAGATAATGATTCCAATATTAATTGAGGTGGTTGTTCGTCACTTTTTCCCCCAATTTACCCCTTGCTCTTAATAAGTCGTGCGGTTTCTTTTCATTATTCATCAAAGTATAATTAATTACCTAATCTGGCACTTCTGTATTTGCATCATATTAGCCGCTAGATCAAGATTATTAACGATTGAGATCTTTTCACATTTCTCTCATGAGACTTCTTTCTCACCGGAACCGCTCCCTATATATATATATATATATATATATAGGGATTGATTCATGTGAGAAAGGTGCCTTAAGAGAGAAATGAGAATAAATTATAGTCTTAGATAAACATGATCGGATGGATACAATAGAATCTCATTACACTTTTTCTACCATAACTATTGCCGGATATGTGCTTTAAAAAAGGTAATACTGCAACCTCATAGTTAATGAAGGATATTGTGGTAAATTTCATTCGGACAGTTGACTCGCATGAAGCAGAGGAGTGAGTGCATCATCGAGAAAGTCTCACTTAACAAAAATAAAGTACTCCGTATTAGAAAGAAAGCTACAAGGTTCATTCCATGCACACAAAAAAACCTTTTAAATTACATGAACGAGTATCATAAAAGAAAAAAATTCCAACAAAGAGTAATTCCAACAAAAACACAAAATGGGGAACTAGAAAAGCACCAATAAGGAAACGATAAATGCATTTCAGAGATAAATACAGTGCAATATTGTGAATAAATAATACTCGTATTATCATTGCATGTTTCACATGGAATTACAAATAGATGCACACTGTATATCTAGAGAAAATTACGAATGATGCACTATGTATATGAAGTCGTCTTCTAACGTTGTAAAAAGCACTAGGTCAATCCATTAATGCATTTCAAAGACAAATACAATGCACTTTTGTCAACAAATATTATTGTGATTGCATGTTGCACATGAAATTACAAATAAATGCACACAGGTACGTGTATCGAGAGCAAATTCTAAATGATGCACTATGTATATAAAATCTTCTTCAATTAAAAAGCAGTAGATCGATTAATGCATGTGAAAGACAAATACAATGCACTTTTATAAATTCATAACATTGAATTTCCATTGCATGTTGCACACGATATTACAAATAGATGCACAAAAGTATATCTAAAGTAAATTTGGAATGAAGATATATAATACACAAATGATCACGAATGTTGCCCACATAGTTAAAAAATAGTGCACAAGAAAGCATCAATGTAATGCACTCAAAGGTAAGCAAATACTAAAATGTGCATGCTCAAGTAGCAGTTTATTTACTTGAACATGCCTAATGCTTCAAAAAA